TCCCCCCCCTCTCCTCCCACGTCCCTCTCACTGGGCCCTCCCTGTCTGCAGCACAGACCCTGGATTCTCATGGTCTATGGAATGTGGGCCTGCTGGTGTGTGCTGGGGACCCCAGGTGTGGCCGTGGTTTTTCTCCACACCATCATCTCCTTCTGCGTGGCCCAGTTCCGGTCGCTGTTCCTGTCATGGCTCTGTTCTCTCCTCCTGCTCTCCACACTGAGGCTACAAGGTGTGGAGGAAGTTAAGGTAAGTGTCTCCCTCTTACCTTTGGGAAGGAGGAGGCCTCTTTGGCTTCGCCCTGATCCCAGCAGATGCCTTTGTTTTCGGAGGAGACAATTGTAGCACCTGGATGGGCTCCCCCTGGTGGCCACGTGGGGTGATGCATGAGAGCCCTGCCCTTGAATTCTGCAGTCCTGTCTTTTGTGTCTAGTCTTAGCCTTGAGAGGTTGCCCCGGGGCTGACCCTGTACGTTTTCTCCCTTCTAAGTTTCGGTAGGCAAGAGGGTGCCAGATGCCATAGGACCAGAGGATCAGAAACAAAGGGAAAGAAAACGATTTAGTCCCTTAGGCATTTAATAAAAATCATCTGCAGAGTACTGTATAATTTACAGGGAACGCTCACATTCCTTATCTCCTCGGATGCCCACAGTGGCCCTGAGATAGGTAAGGCAGCTGTTTTTCTTCTCTTTATTTGATGAAACAGATTTATTTATTACCTACTCATGTACCCCACTGGACACTCTCTGAATTTAGAAAGTGAAAACCATGTGTTTTGCCCCAAAGGGCACAGACCAAGGTTTCATTTTTGGAAACCAAAGGCATCTTGACAGAACTACCTATTGATTGCTGTGCTAATGGAGAAAGACATTGGGCTCGACCCCCACTTCCATATGGCCTTTGTTTGCATTAGTACATTTTTCTTTTACAGGCATTTACCTTCTTAGCTTTATTTTTTCTTAGTCATAATTATAATACGTTTTTATTTTGTGAGTGGACACCGGATGATGTTGCTGATGCTAGATGACAGAGACTGCACTCTGAGTTTAAGAGATTGGTGGGCACTGCTGAGTTGATTACAGCCATCAGCAAACTCTTCCTGACCTTGTTTTCTGGTGCCTGTTGCACATTTTCTGATCATCTCCTGGAGAGTGCGCAGCATCCCCTGGACAACTCTGGACTATCTGGTTCTGTCTTTGGTAACTCGAGTGACTTAGCCCTGGTTATGCACACCAAGCTCAGGCTTGGAAGGGACCCCTCAGGCTGTCCGTGTAGCTTCCCCGTCTCACCTATCTGTTGAATGTACCCTTTACGTGTTCAAGTTGGAGAATCAGGCTTGTCATAGAAGACAGCTGCAGGGAAGGAGAGAGTCTGTGTGGAACTCTCAACCACTCAGATGTGGGAACTTTCCACTGGGGGAGAAAAAGTGCTTGGCAAGAACAACGTTAAGTCCAGGGCCCAGCTCCAGTGTCTGTGGTCCTGGGCCCCGGGCATTCGAGCCCTTCAGCTTCAGAGTCAGTCAGCCTGGAGAGCAGCCAGGCTGACAGATTCGCAGCTCTGGAAACATCGTGGGCTGTGTGCCCAGAGCAGAACCACTGCAGATCTCCATCCTCATCCCCTTCTTCCGGAGCCTTGTTCTCAGACAATTTTTGAGTGGGATCGCAGAGGCTGTTGAGTCAGGCTAATCTGCTCACCATTCCCCTTTTACACATTTTTATCCCGTCTCTTTGAACCTATCTCCCCCTCATCCCTGTCCATAATATTCTCTTGTTTTGTTTCAAAGTACAGCTTTGACCTCAGTCTCTAAAGCTCTTCCTGTCTCTATAGAGAACCCCTCTCCAGCCTCCATTTGTTGGCTTCCCTTTCCATGAGTCCTCAGATGGAATCAGTGGGTAGTCATTGTAGCCTGCCTCACTGCTGCTGGGCTCTGTGCTAGCTGAGAATTTTTCATGTTCGCTTTACATGATGTGACATGGATAACCGCTGCTTGGCATGATGAGGTAATCTGTACGTCTGATCTTGCAGACTAGAATATAAACTCATAGTCAGGGCAGTGTTTCCATGCACCGGAGTTTGGGGCTCCATGCAGGCCAGTTCTCTGCAGATGCCTGTAGACCGAATGTGCCAGTGGAGATCGTATGGGGTTGCAGGAAGGGAGAGGTGTGTGCAGTCTCCCAAAAGCTCTATGGGTGTATCCACATCCACATACCCACGAAATTCTGTTGCCTCGGGCTCAATGCTAAGTTGATGGTCGAGGTTAGAGATGTTCTTTTCACTGCTGCTTGTTAACTGCTTGCTTTGACTCCCAATGAGATTTATCTGGTGTTCATCGACGCTCAACTCCCTTTATGCTACGGGTGCTCTACCAGAGGTGATCTCCTTCCCGGGGACTCCTGGGCCTCTCAGAGGAAGGTGGCCGTGCTAGCCATAGGGAGTAGGTGATGTCCCTCCTTGTCTCTCAGAAGTTGTTCTCTCTTTTTGCCTTTGCAGAGGAGGTGGTACAAGACAGAAAGCGAGTACTACTTGCTGCAGTTCACGCTGACCGTCCGCTGCCTGTGCTACACCAGCTTCAGCCTCGAGTTCTGCTGGCAGCAGCTGCCCGCCGCCCGTGGCCCCTACGCCTTCCCCTGGATGCTGGCCTATGTCTTTTATTACCCGGTCTTCCACAACGGGCCCATCCTCAGCTTCCCGGAGTTCATCACACAGGTAGAGCCCGCTGGGGACTGGAGTCGTATTCCGTAGATTACGCCTCTGTCCCGTTGCTGTGGTCATCTCTGTGACTCTTGAGTCTTTTCATTCAGGTGTGCCCACAGATTTAGAACACACACTACTAGTTGTCGTGGTTTTTTTACCCCATAGATGAAAAACATAGGGGAAATAAACTTGCAAAATAAGGGTTGACCTGTCTGTCATGTGCGTTAGCTCTGGGGGCCCCCACCCTGATTCCCAGTGAACTGTGGCCACCAGAGTTAATAACTGGGGCACAGTGAGGGACTTGGGAGTTGGTATCCACTGCAGAGAAGTCCCAGGGAAATAGAAAATTTGATTATGATGGTATTACTTGAACAAGTAGGAAGCGAAACTATCTGAGCTGTTGCTTGGCAAGTAGTATGTTTCCTTTCATGTTCATAAACCGCGTATGAAATAGCCCTGCTGCAGCCTGCAAGTTGTTCAGGGTGCCCTGGATGAGAAGACACAGTGGAGCTGAAGGAAGACTGAAGGCGATGGCGTGTTTTCAGGTCTGGGTGCCTGTTGGTGCCCAGGCCTCTGCCTGCCTGCTCTGGATAGCACCCACATCTGAAACACCACGGCAGGCTGACTTGTCAATCCCACCTCACTTTCCCCTACTTAGAACTCTTTTTTTCTTTCAACCCACATCTAGTCTCATGCAACATATTTGCTAAGTAATTCACCTAAGGTGTTAGTAATTGATAGTACCTAAAACAGTGTTTCTCAAGGGACATTTCAACCTCCCCCACCAAAACAAAACAATCCTGATGGAGGAGATAATAACATGTACACGCTTACACACACACATGAACACACCCACACAATGTGCACACATGCCTGGAAGCACAGTTCACAGTACAGGGCGTGCAGCAGTGTGTTGCACATCTCTGGGGGCAACATAAAAGGTGCCCCTTGGAAAAGAAGGAGGGTTCTTAGAAATCCCTTATTGTGTTTACAAAATTCCACTAAGTTATGTACTGTATTCAAAAGTATATTTCTGCATTATAACAATACCATAATGTTCTAAAGTTGCCAGTGAAGGTATATAATGTTTTTCCTTCCAGAAATCTAAGTGAAATTGATATTCTCAGGCAGATATATGTTTAGTGTATGGCTTCTCATACTTTGTTTTGGGTTACATAGGATCATTCTTTTCAAATCTGCATTTGAATTGTGTTTAGAATTATTGTGTAAAAGACAGAGGTGTTTTAGCGATGGCAGCTGATTATGTAATTCAATGGTTTGCAAAGCGTGGCCCCTGGGCTGG